GACCCTTACTTCCCTGCAAGAACCCCACAACATTATTATCCTCATCAGGATGTGGCCTATGCTATGGCCCCTCAGCCGTACGCAGTAATGAATGCCCAGCCATACGCCAGGCCACAACAACAATTCAACCAAAACCGAGCTCTATTTCCTAGAAATCAACCTCCTCGCCAAGCCCAGTACAATCCCCAACCACTACAAAATAACTTCCCCTACAATGCCCGTGACCGGGAGCCACCCAGGATAGCAAACTTCACGCCTATTAGTGAGTCATATTCTAGCCTTTTCCCTAAACTTGTCCAGATGGGTTTGTTGCAACCCATACCCCAAACCAGGCAGAACCCAGAGTCGCCTTCTTACGGAACCGATGCTCGATGTGCCTATCATTCTGGGGCAGAAGGACATGATACTAAAGATTGTTGGACTCTGAAAAGAGCTATTGAAAACCTCATAGAACAAAAACGAATAGTGCTGAAGGATGAGGAAGTTCCTAATGTGACCAACAAACCATTGCCGGCTCACAGCAACAGGCCGGTCATTGGAAAGATTTGCGAGGAAAAGGAGTTTGATCCTGCTTTGAAAGCCATTATTGCAATCAGTGATGCCGAAAAGAAGCCAAAAGCCACTGCAAAACAAGACAAGGGGGAGAAGAAGAGTAAACCCACCCCTAAAAATATAGAAAAGACAACAGGAACCAAAACTGGGGCAGTACCCTCAAAAGATGCCATTCTTTATGTTCCCCGGGGTCACAAGAAAGAACAAATGTCATTGAGCCCTCCAAGAAGGTTTGAGATGAACAGGGGATCTAAGATGTACGTGCCTAAAGAGACCTATGTGGTATGGGGCCAGTAATTTTACCAAGGCGGAATGAGCCCGTGGTTATTGGCCGCGCACCGTAGAGGCCCATGACAGACCCTACCGCCGTTCCCTGGACTTACAACAAGGCGGTAGTAATCTACAAGGGAAAAGAGGTTTTGGGAGAAGCAAATGAAACTAACCCAGCTGAGAAATACTTTAATGTGGGAGAAGTAAACAATGCCAAGCAGAAACGCTTTCCGATCAAGGAACCAATTAGTGCCGAAGAAGCAGAAGAGTTCTTCCGAAAAATGAAAACTGCAGACTACGAGATAATTGACCAACTCCGAAAGTCTCCTGCTCAGGTTTCTTTATTGTCTCTACTAATGAATTCAACTGAACATCAGAATGTGTTGATAAAAACCCTCAACGAAGCTTATGTGCCGATTGAGACCACTGTTGAACAACTGGAGAGGATGGCAGAAAGATTCTTCGCAGTCAATCAAATTTCCTTTAGCAAGAATGATTTGCCCCCGGAAGGGGCCTCCCACAACAAATCCCTCCATCTGACAGTTAAATGCGAGGGGTATTATGTGAAAAGAGTCATGCTGGATGGTGGCTACGGAGTTGATATCTGCCCTCTCTCAACTCTGCAAAGAATGGAGATCGGGACTGAGAGAATCAAGCCCAACAATGTCTGTGTGCGTGCCCTTGATGGTATCAAAAGAGATACCATAGGTGAGATCGATTTGATTCTGACTATTGGACCTGTGGATTTTGAGGTGACCTTTCAGGTCCTAGACATGGATACTTCTTATAATTTCCTCTTGGGAAGGCCTTGGATTCACGTAGCAGGGGCTGTACCTTCTACCCTACACCAGATGGTGAAATTTGAATATGAAGATCAGGAGATTGTAGTTCATGGAGAAGATGAGCAGTTAATTTACCGGGACCCATCAGTCCCATGTCTCGAAGTGAGGGAAGGTAGTGAGCATATAGTTTATCAAGCTTTTGAGGTGGTGGTCGCAGATCAATATGAGGAAGGAAACCCTTGTCCTCAACCTCTTCTATCAAATGCATCCATCATGGTCGCTGCTGAAATGATCAAACATGGTTATAAGCCTGGGAAGGGACTCGGGGCATCACTACAAGGTATCACGGAACCTATCACCCTACCTGCCACCAAGAAGTTCTTCGGTGTGGGTTTTCGCACCACAGAAGCTGATGTGACATGGGCAAATAAATGAAAGAGCGATGTTTGGGTGTTACCTCAGCCAATTCCACATCTCTACAGAACATTTGTCAGGCCCAAGTACAATGAAGAAGAAGAAGATGAGGCCTTCACGGCCGAGGAAATTGAGGACATATGTGGATCCATGAGGCAAATGCTATATGAAACCCACATGATTCAGCCGGGAGAAGGCTCGAGCACCCCTGAGGTGCTATACATGGGGCCCAATGCCAAGTTGCAAAACTGGAAGGCTACTCCGTTCCCAATCAGGCAAGAATCCCGGTAGTCCAGTCCTGCCACCTTTTCTGCATCACGAGTTATTTCAGGGTGTAACTCGGATGTTTTTTTTCAGTTTCCTGTCATTTAATTCCAATGTAAACCCCGTTATCTTCAAAATTCAATGAAATGAAATCAATATTTCATCATCCATCTCTCTTTATTCTTTCTGATTTTTGATATTTTTTCTTATTTCTTCTTTCAGTTCTAATAATGTGGCTTTAAATAACATGACATGCTTGCGAACTTCATGCCCAGATCCAAATACGCTATCTAATTATGAAATAATGAATCAAGAACTGGAATATGATGAAGAGGAGGCTTTTAGGGAAATAAATCGAGAATTGGAACAATTTGAGAATAAACCTAAGCCGAACTTAAATGAAACCGAGCTGGTTAATTTGGGTAGTTCTGAAGAAGTCAAAGAAACCAAGATAAGCATTCACACAGATGAAAGAACCAGGGACGCATTGATCCAACTTTTGTTTGAATTCAAAGATGTGTTTGCTTGGTCCTATGATGACATGCCCGGATTAAGTGTCGATTTGGTAGTGCACAAGTTGCCGACTTACCTCGATTATCCTCCTGTCCAGCAAAAGCAGAGAAAATTCAAAACTGATATCAGTGACAAAATCAAAGAAGAGGTCACAAAACAGTTGAAGGCGGGAGTGATCTGAGTGGTCCGATACACCACATGGCCGGCTAATGTAGTTCCTGTGCCAAAGAAAGACGGGAAAACCCGGGTGTGCGTTGACTACCGAGATCTGAACAAAGCAAGTCCCAAGGACAATTTCCCTTTGCCAAATATCCACATCCTTGTTGATAACTGCGCCAAACATGAGATACAGTCTTTCATAGATTGTTATGCAGGATATCACCAGGTGTTGATGGATGAAGAGGATGCAAAAAAGACAGCCTTCACTACACCTTAGGGCACCTATTGCTACAGGGTCATGCCTTTTGGTTTGAAGAATGCCAGGGCAACATATATGAGGGCCATGACTGCCATCTTTCATGACATGATGCACCGAGAAATCGAGGTGTATGTGGACGATGTGATCATCAAATCCAGAACCCAGAACGACCATGTTCGGGACCTGAGAAAGTTCTTTGAGCGGCTGCGCAAGTACAATTTGAAGCTAAATCCGGCGAAATGTGCATTTGGGGTTCCGTCTGGCAAATGTTTGGGATTTATAGTCAGTCAGAGGGGCATCGAGCTGGACCCAAGAAAGATAAAGTCTATTAGGGATTTGCCTCCTCCAAGAACCAAGAAAGAGGCTATGAGCCTGCTGGGAAGGTTGAACTACATTAGCTGATTCATTTCTCAGTTGACTTCTACATGTGAACCCATCTTCAAGCTGTTAAAGAAAGATGCAGCGATTAAATGGACGGATGAGTGTCAAGAAGCCTTTGACAAGATCAAAGTATATCTGTTGAACCCGCCAGTCTTGGTCCCACCTGAACCTGGGAAGCCATTATTTTTGTATTTGACAGTCTTGGAAAATTCCTTTGGTTGCATCCTCGGGCAACATGATGTGACCGGAAAGAGAGAGCAGGCAATCTACTATCTGAGCAAGAAGTTTACCAGTTACGAAGCCAAATACACTTTGTTGGAAAGAACTTGCTGCGCTTTAACTTGGGTCGCTCAAAAGCTTAGGCATTACCTGTTGGCCTATACCACTTACCTCATCACCAGGCTAGATCCTTTAAAGTACATATTCCAGAAACCGATGCCCACAGGGAGGTTAGCAAAATGGCAGATCCTGCTCACTGAATTTGACATAGTCTATGTCACCCGCACGGCAATGAAAGCCCAGGCTCTAGCGGATCACTTAGCTGAAAACCCTGTTGACGACGAATATCAGCCTTTGAATACTTACTTCCCGGACGAGGAGGTGAATTCAGTTGAGGTAACATCAGAAGACACCAATGCTTGGAAAATGTTCTTCGATGGAGCTGTGAACGCAAAAGGCGTTGGAATTGGGGCAATCTTGATCTCACCCATGGGTAAGCATTATCAAGCCACAGCCCGGCTTCGGTTTTTTTGCACAAACAACACTACCGAGTATGAAGCCTACATTATGGGTATAAATATGGCAATCGACCAAGATGTTGAAGAACTATTGATCATGGGAGATTCGGACTTGATTATCCGACAAGCTCAGGGTGAATGGGAAACCCGGGATGTCAAGCTTATTCCATACAGGCAACATGTGGAGGATCTTAGTAAACGGTTCAAGTCACTCGAGTTCAGGTACATTCCTTGTTTTCACAATGAGTTGGCCGATGCACTCGCTACTTTGGCTTCGATGTTGCCGTATCCAGGCAATCTCCACATTGACCCGTTGGAAATCCAAATCCGAGAAAGGCATGGTTACTGCAATACGGTTGAGGCAGAACCGGATGTTCAGCCATGGTATCATGATACCGAGAGATTTCTGAAAACTAAAGAATATCCTGATCAAGCCAGTGGAGACCAAAAGAGAACCATTAGACGACTTGCAAGCGGTTTCTTCTTGAGCGGCAAGGTCTTGTACAAAAGGACTCCAGATCTCAATTGTTAAGATGTGTTGATGCCAAAGAGGCTGGAAGAATCATGTATGAAGCGCACGCAGGAGTGTATGGACCCCACATGAATGGGTATGTTTTGTCAAAGAAGATCCTTCGAGCAGGCTATTATTGGATGACTATGGAAAAGGATTGCGTCAGTTTTGTCCGGAAATGTCATCAGTGTCAGGTGCACGGTGATCCGGTTCATGCACCACCTACAGAACTACATCCCATGTCAGCACGTTGGCCATTTGTTGCTTGGGGTATGGACGTCATTGGGCCGATCGACCCAAAAGCTTCAAATGGACATATATTCATATTGGTCGCCATCGACTACTTCACAAAGTGGGTTGAAGCAATTACTCTCAAAGCTGTCACTAAGAAAGCAGTGGTAGACTTCGTGCACTCCAATATCATCTGCCGTTTTGGTATTCCTGCAACTATCATTACGGATAATGCTGCAAACTTGAATAGTCACTTGATGAGGGAGATATGTGAGCAATTTAAGATCACGCATCGAAATTCTACCCCTTATCGGCCCAAAGCCAATGGCGCTGTCGAAGCAGCAAACAAAAACATCAAGAAGATTCTGAGAAAGATGATCCAAAGTTCTAGGCAATGGCATGAAAAGTTGTCGTTTGCATTGTTGGGATATTGCACTACTGTGCGCACATCAGTCGGAGCAACCCCGTATCTTTTGGTTTATGGCACTGAAGCCGTGATACCCGCAGAAGTTGAAATTCCTTCTCTTCAGATCATTGTTGAAGCTGAAATTGAGGACACTGAGTGGGCCAAAACCCGTCTGGAACAGTTAAACCTGATTGATGAAAAATGAATGGCCGCAGTCTGCCACGGGCAGTTGTATCAACAAAGAATGGCCCGTGCCTACAACAAGAAAGTGCGGCCTAGAAACTTTGAAGTGGGGCAACTCGTTTTGAGGCGTGTTCTCCCCCATCACCAGGAAGCAAAAGGAAAGTTTGCTCCTAACTGGAAAGGACCATACATCATCAGAAAATTGTTGCCAAAAGGGGTGTTATACCTGGGAGACATCGAAGGAAATGATCCCGAAACAGCTGTAAATGCGGATACAGTCAAAAGGTACTATGTCTAGTCTTTCTGCAGCAACAACATTATCCGATTGGGATGACGAAAGCCTTCATTCTCGCTACCCCAAACACTCCAATCCTTTGCTAACCCTTTGAGCCGGTTACCTTTCTTTCATTACCCTCTTTGGAACCTAAAAACGTTTGTAAAAAAAATAAAAATAAAAAGAAAAAATATCAAAATCAAAACAAAAGAAAAAGACAAAAAAAAGTTCTCCCTGAACTACGTTCGGCTTGATTCCGAAAGGATACGTAGGCAGCCTCTCTCTGGGGTTCAGTCACACCAAAACAAAAATCCAATTTCCCCCAAAAGTGAAACTGGGGCAGATGTTATAATGGTTCGGCGATGATCCCGCCTGAATGGTTCCAAAGTTGTAATTCGATCCAAATTCTTTTTACCCCAAATCCTGTTCAAGTCCTTCCGATCAATCGGTGAAAGGTGTTCAAAATCGGAGAACGCATTTGTTTGAACCCGATGCAATCAAGAAAAGAGAAATAAAATGAGAGAGTCTTATTGGTGAAAACCTACGGGCACCGTAAGGCGATGGTGAGCAGAGAAANATGATCTTCACCCTCTTCCTACGCTTTAGTCGATCTCTCTCTCTAATTCTTGATAACAGCCCTGAAATCACCTGTTTACAGTGATCTGGAAGAGGTGGGTCAAACCACCTAAAAAATTACAAGAATTGGCTTGACCATAGTTTGAGCACCCATAAAACCTTCTTCCTGGATTTGTTGGCTTCCAAGTGATGAAAATATGAGCTTCAACTCCACAATGACAAAATACAGGACTTTGATTCATTATCACAGTTTGGAAAAAGAAAAAAAAATTAAAGAAAGCTTCAGATTTTAAGAAATATGTAGGAATGAAGCTTCAAATGCATATAATATAGGGATAATGTGTTTTACATTAAAGGAATAAGAACCCACTTAAATAGGCCCCATTTTTTACCGTTGGGCGTTGGCACCTTTTTCCAACATAGGATCTCCACTCCCTAGTTGAGATTTATTTTAGACATAGCGTCTCCACTCCCTAGTCGCCTTTTGCCAACATAGGGTCTCCACT